ATGCTAGCAGTGGATTTATATTTATGGCCTTTATTATGCTTAGGTATGTCCCCTCTATTCCCACTTTGCTGAGTTTTTATCATAAGTGGGTGCTAGATTTTATCAAAAGATAAATGCTGGGGAAAAAATGCTGGATAAAATGCTTTATAAAAAGATAGATGCTGGATTGCATCTATTGATATAATTATGTGGTTTTTATCCTTTATTTCACTTACGTGGTGAATCATATTTAATGATTTGTGAATGTTGTACCAAGACTGCATTCCTGCAATAAATCCCCCTTGATCATGGTGTGTGTTCTTTTTGACACATTGCTGTATTCAGTTTGCTATTATTTTGTTGAGGATTTCAGCATCTATATTCATTGGGATGTTGACCTACAATTTTCTTTTTTGTTGTTGTTGTAACTTTATCTGGTTTTAGTATTAGGATAATGCTGGCCTTGTAAAATGAGCTTGAGAGCCTCCCCTTCTCTTGAATTTTTTGAAACCTGTGAAACCATCTGTAGCGCTTTTGTTTGTTGGGAGTTTTTTGATTACCGCTTTAATTTCACTAGGAGTAATTTATCTATTCAGATTCTTGGATTCTTCCTGGTTTAATTTTGGAAGATTGTATGTTTCTAGGAATTTATCCATTTCATCCAGGTAGTCCAGTTTCTTGGCATATAGTTGTTCATAATATTTTCTTACAATCCTGTGCATTTGTTTGGTGTCAGTTGTTATTTGTCCTTTTCAATTTCTGACTTTATTTGGTTCCTCTCTTTTTCTCCTGATGAGTCTCATTAAAGGTTTGTCAATCTTGCTTATCTTTTCAAAGAACCAGCACTTGAATTCATTTGTCTTTTGTATGTTTTCTTAAGACTATTTCATTTACTTTTGCTCTGATCTTCATTACTGCCTTCCTACTACTCACCTGGGCTTTGTTGTTGTTGTTGTTGTTGTTGTTGTTTTTAAGTTCCTTTAAGTGTAAAGTGAGATTACTGGAGCTTTTTCTTATTTTTGAGATGGGCCTGTAATGCTGCAAATTTCCCTCTTAGGACTGCTTTCCCTGTGTTTCACCAATTTTGGATTGCTATGTTTCCATTTTCATTTGTTTTAAGGTATCTTTGATTTCTTTTTTGATCTCTTTGTTGACCCATTCATTGTTTAATAACATATTACTTAGCTTCCATGTCTTTGTGTATTTTTCAGTGTTGTTCTTGTGATTGATTTCTAGTTTCATAACATTGTGGTCAGAGAAGATATCTGATATGATTTCAATCTTCCTCAATTTATTAAAATTTGTTTTGTGTCCTAACATGCGGTCTATTGTAGAAAATATTCCATGTACATTTGAAAATTATGTATATTCAATTGCTTTAGGGTGAAATGCTCTGAAAAAAAATTGATGTTTTTGATCCATTTGACCTAGTGTGTTTTTTTAAAAGATTTTATTTATTTTGTTATTAGAGAGAGGGGAAGGGAAAGAGAGGGTGAGAAATGAGAAACATCAATGTGTGGTTGCCCCTTGCACACCCCCTACTGGGGACCTGGCCTGCAACTCAGGCATGTGCCCTGACTGGGAATCAAGCCTGCGACCCTTCCCTTCACAGGCCCAATCCACTGAGCTATACCAGCCGGGGCTGAACTAGTGTGTTGTTTAAAGCCGTTGTCTCCTGGTTGATTTTCTGTCTGGAAGATTTATCTATCCATTGAAGTCAAAAGGGTGTTAAAATCAATGACTATGACTGTATTTCTGTCGATCTCTCCCTTTATGTCCATCAAGATCTGCTTTACATATTTAAGTGCTCCTATGTTGCTGCATAAATGTTTACTAGAGTTATGTCCTCTTGTTGGATTGTTCCCTTTATCATTATGTAGTATCCTTCTTTGTTACTGTGAACTTGGTTTTAAAATCTATTTTATCTATTTGGATATACATATTGCTACCCCTGCTTTATTTCCTTTCCATTAGCATGAAATACCTTTTTCCATTCCTTTACTTTCAGTCTGTGCGTATCTTTCAATCTGAGGTCTGTTGGAGGCAACATATATATGGGTTTTGTTTCCTTATCCATTCAGCTACCACATGTCTTTTGGTTGGGGCATTTAAGCCTTTTACATTTAAGGTGATTATTGATAGATATGTACTGCATTTTGCCATATAACAACGTGCACCTTTTTGCCCAAATTTTTGAGGAAAAAAATAAGGATGTGCATTACACATGGGTATTAGTTACCTGTACATAAAATTTCTTGTACCTTGTAGCTATTCTTGTGTTTTGTAATTATCTGTTACATAAAATTTCTTGTACCATATTTCAAAAAATGAATGCTAAAATTCCTTTATAATTAAAAATAACAAGTATCTAAATATAAATAAATAACTGAATTAAAAAATTAAACCAAAGTTTTTTCCCCCTAAAGTTTCGGCCAAAAATGTGGGTGTGCATTATACACGGCAAAATATAGTATTAAGTGCCATTTTATTGTTAAACTATTTTTTCTTTTTTTCTTTCTTTCTCTTTTTTTTTTTCTTCTTCTTAAAGCAAGCCCTTTAACATTTGTTGCAGTACTGGTTTGGGGTTAACTTTTTCTTGTCTGGGAATCTCTATTTCTCCTTCAATTTTAAATGGTAGTCTTGCTGAGTGAAGTAGCTTGGTTGTAGGTCCTTGCTTTTCAACACCTTGAATATTTCATGGCACTCCTTTCTGGCCTGAAACGTTTCTGCTGAGAAATCATAAAACAGTCTAACTGGTGCTCCCTTGTACGTAACTACCTGCCTTTCTCTTGCAGCTTTTAGGATTCTCTCCTTGTCTTTAGGCCTTGCCATTTTAATTATCATATGTCTTGGCATAGGTCTCTTTGGGTCCAACTTGTTTGGGACTCTCTGAGCTTCCTAGACTTGTGTGTCTTTTTCCTTCACTAGGTTAGGAAGTTTTCAGTAATTATTTCTTCAAATAGGTTCTCAATCTCTTGCTCACTCTCTTCTCCTTCTGGTATTCCCATGATGAAGATGTTTTTATGCCTCATGTTTTCCCAAAGGTTTCTTACATTGTCCTCATTTTTTTTCATTCTTTTTTCTTTTTACTGCTTTGCTTATGTTTTTTTGACCTTATCTTCCTAATCATTGATTCAGTCCTCTGTTTCATTTAACCTACTGTTTATTTCCTCCAGTGATTATTTATTTCAGATATTGCATTCTTTATTTCTCACTGGTCCTTTTTTATGGTTTCTATGTCCTTTTTCATGCTGCTGAGTATCCTTATAGTCATTACTCTAAACTCTTTATCTGATAAATCACTTACCTCTATTTCATCCAGTTCTTTTGGAGAATTCTCTAGTTCTTTCATTTGGGGCCTCTTTCTTGGTTTTCCCATTTTGGCTGCCTCTTTGTTTTTATTCTATGGAATAGGCAGATTAGGAAGACTTTGGTCTACCTATTACATAGAAACTCTGCCTGTGACTGGCCCTGGGCAACCTGTTTGTAGTTATCAGTGGTCCATAGCATGTGGCTCCCTCTGTTGGGCCTGGGCAGAAAGAACCAGGCTGTGCGGCAAGGATAGCTCTTACAAGCACCAGGCCAGAGGGAGGGTCTAAAGTCTCAGAATCCGAGGAATCTGTCTCTGCCTATAGGCTTTCTGTAAGGTTAATCAGTGAATGTCTTCCAGCTATACTCTTCGGCAGCAGGGCTTAAGCTCCACAGGTTGGAGCAGAGTAATTCCTGTGGGTGGGACTATTGCTTCTCCTCAGGCTGATGCCATTCATAGAGGAGTACTCTACCTGGGGAAGATAGCACCTGCAGTATGGGGAATGACTTAGCACAGAGATCCTGGTGGCTATTCCTTGGGCTCTCTTCCCAGAGCCAACACCCCCAGACTCTCCTCAAACATCTCTAGTCCACTCTACCCTCCCTCTGATGGAGCCCAGGATAAGTGACTGCAAATGGAATTTTGTGCATTGGCCATTTAAGAGACTCTCTGAATCTCCAGCTATCTCTCCCTGGTGGACAGAAATCCTGTTGCTTTTCACAACTTTATGTTATTTGGGTTCCTTTCCTGGTTCTGGTGCCATAGGCTGGGGATTCCAGCTTGGGGTTTAGACCCACACTTCTCAGAGAGAACCCCCTAGCTGCTGAAATATCCCTCCAGAACTTCAGCTGCTGCCTGTGGGAGCTCAGTCAGCCCTCTCACACCACCTCCACATTCCCTGCCTGTCTCATTGTGGTGAAATGGCTCCTTCTGTCTGTCTGTGATTATAAGGCTTCTAAAAAGAATTCCGGCTAGTGTTCAGTTGGTTATTCAGGATGATTTTTCTATAATTTAGTTGTAACTACGTTTGGTCCTGGGAGGAGGTTAGTGTAGCTTCCACTCACTCCTCTGCCATCTTGGCCCAATCCAGGAAATTAGTGGTTTTAGATAGATTGAGCAAAGTTAAGCTTTTGGCCAAATAATAAGAAATTCTTTTTTAAAATCCTCACTCAAGGATATGTTTACTGATTTTAGAGAGAGAGAAAGGAAGAGAGTAAGAGACAGACAGACAGACAGACATCGATGTGAAAGAGGAACATTGATGGGCTGCCTCCTATACACTCCCCAATCAGGGATTGTACCTGCAACTTAAGACTGTGCCCTGAGTGGGAATAAAACCTGCAAACCTTTTTGTGTATGACACAATGTTACAGCCAACCAAGCCACTAGGCCAGGGCACCAAATTATTAAATAGTGTGTAAAAAGAATTATACCTTATAATTTACTTACATATGCAAAGGCATCAAACTCAAATTCAAAACATTATACTTAGATAACCCAAGTATTCACTTGTGACTTGAGAATAAAAGTCATAACTTCCTAAGCCTAACTAAGCTACTTGATAGAAAAATGTACCTTATTTAGAAAGTTTCATAATCAATTGCTAAATTCAATTTCAGATATTCTGCAAAACATTTTAATACAATTACAAATATAATTTCCTAAAAACTAGCATATTCCACAAGTATAAGATTAGCTAATAGTTCTTTACCTCTCCAGCACTTGCACATTCCTTGGCTCTCCTGTGAAGTGCAGCCCATGTGTCTTCATACCTAAGAATAGAAAAAAGTAATTCAAAATGCAAAAAAAAGTAAAATTTCATGCTTTTTAAAAAGATTTTATTTATTTATTTTTAGAACAGGAAAGGAGGGAGAAAGAGAGAGAGAGAGAAACATCAATGTGCAGTTGCTGGGGGTCATGGCCTGCAACCCAGGCATGTACCCTGACTGGGAATCGAACCTGCAATGCTTTGGTTCACAGCCCACGCTCAATCCACTGAGCTATGCCAGTCAGGGCTTTCATGCTTTAAAATATTTAAAAAACTGTCTGAGATGAACCTGGAACATCCTATGGTGTCCGAAAACAAAGAGCTCAAAATATAATGGGGATATGTTGCAAGGACACAGAAATCAACTTGAAGGGGCTTCCAATGGCTAAGTTGAGGAAAACTTGAACACTACAATAAATGATAGTAACGGGTTATAACTCAAAAATTAAACAAACAGCCCTGGCTGGTGTGGCTCGACTGGGCATCTTCCCTCAAACCAAAAGGTCACCTGTTGAAATCCCAGTCAGGGCACATGCCTGGACTGCAGGTTCAGTCCCTGGTTGGGGTGCATGTGGAGGGCAACCAATCAATGTTTCCCTCTCACATCGATGTTTCCCTCTCTTTCTCCCTCCCTTCCCCTCTCTCTCTCTAAAACTAAATAAATAAAATTAAAAATATTAGCCTTGGCTGGTGTGGCTCAGTGGACTGAGTGCCAGCCTGTGAACCAAAGGGTTGCCAGTTCAATACCCAGTCTAGGGCTCATGCCTGGGTTGTGGGCCAGGTCCCCAGTAGGGGGTGCAAGAAGCAACCACACACTGATGTTTCTCTCCCTCTTTTTCTCCCTCCCTTCCCCTCTCTAAAACTAAACAAACACAATTTTTAAAAAAAGTTTTAAAATTTAAAAAATTAAACATTCATGAGATCATGATTTAAGTAACTAATTAAAAATAATAAAGAAAATCAACAAAATCAAAAATTGATTCTTCAAAAGATTAACAAAATGAAACCTTTAGCTAGAGTAAGAAAATAAGTAGCTTTAGAAAGAAAAAGAGAGGCATTGCTATCAATTCTACAGAAGTAAAAAGAATTATGAGAGTACTGTAGATAACTGCATGCCAACAAATTTGACAAACTAGATGAAATGAACAAATTCCTAGAAACACAAAACCTACCAAGACTGAAAGCCAAACAAACAGAAAACATGAATAGAACCATTAAAAAGAAATTAAAAGACAAAAAAAAGTTACAGTGAAACAAAAATATGGGAACATGACATACCAAAAAAGTATGCAGTTAAAGCAATTCTAAGAGGCAAATTTGTAGCAATAAGCACCCACATTAAAAAGAAGAAATGACCCCCCAAAACAACCTAATGCTATGCTTTAAGGAACTAGTAAAAGAAAAAACTGAAGCTAGCAGAAGGAAAAATAATAATAAAAATCAGAGCATAAATAAAAGAAACAGAGAACAGAAAAACAACAGAGAAGATTAACCAAACTATAAGCTGTTTCTTTGAAAAAAAAAGAAAGAAAAATGACACCTTTAGCTCAACTGACCAAAGAAGAAAAAGAGAGGACCCACCCTGGCTGGTGTGGCTCAGAAGACTGAACACTGCCTGAAAACCAGAGGGCTGCCAGTTTGATTCCCAGTCAAGGCACATGCCTAGGTTCCATGCCAGGTCCCCAGTTGGGGGCATACAAGAGGTAACCAATCTATGTTACACTTGCACATCAATGTTTCTCTCCCTCTTTTTTCCCTTCCTTCCCCTCTCTCTAGAAATAAATAAATAAAATCTTTTAAAAAATGAGTGGACTCAAATCAACAAAATTATAAATGAAAAAGAATATATTTCAACCAACACCCCAGAAATACAAAGGAAGCTGGTATGAACAACTATATGCTGACAAACTGGACAACCTAAAAAAAATGCTTAGAAACATACCAACTATCAAGACTTAGTCAGGAAGAAACAGAAAGTCTGAACAGACCAATTACTAGTTAGAAGGTTGAATCAATAATCAAAAATGTCCCAATGAAGACAAGTCTAGGATCTGATGGCTTCACTAGTGAATTTCATCAAGCATTTTTAAAAAGAGTTAATGTAAGACCTTCTCAAACTGTTCCAAAAATATCAAAAAGGAGTACCAGTCTCAAACTAATTTTATGATCCCAGCATTACCCTCATACCAAAGGCAAAACAAAAAGGACACCATCAGAAAAGAAAATTACAGACCAATATCCCTGAATATACTGATAGATGCAAGAATTCTCAATAAAATATTAACAAAACAAATTCAACTGCACATCAAAAGAAACTCTCCATTATCAAGTGGGATTTATACCTCAGATGCATGGATGGCTCAACATCCACATATCAATTAGTGTGATATATCACATTCACAGAAGAAAAAAAATCATATGATCATCTTAATAGACATAAGCATCTGATAAAATCCAACATCTGTTCATAACAAAACTCTTAGTAAATTAGGTATAGAAGGAATGTATGTTAAAATAATAAAGGCCACAGCTAACATCATATTCAATGATGAAAGTTGAAAGTTTTTCCTTTCAGATCACAAATAAGACAAAGGTACACATTCTCACCTTTCCTAACCAACATAATACCAGAATTCCTTGCCAGAGTAATCAGGCAAGAAATAAAAAGCATAAGAAACGTAAATGAAAAAGTAAAATTGTCTCCATTTGCATATGATGTTTTATATATAGAAAATCCTGAAGACTCCACCAGAAAGTACTAGACCTAACCAATAAATTCAGTAGAGTTGCAGGATAAAAAATTAACATAGAAAAATCAGGAGTGTTTCTATGCACTAACAACAAATTACCTGAAAAAAATAAAGAAAATAATCCCATTTACAATAGCATTAAAAACAATAAAAAACTGAGGAATAAACTTAACCAAAGAGGTGGAAGATCTCTATTCTGAAAACAAGTCAATGATTTAAAAAATCAAAGAAAACAAAAAATAGAATATATCCTGTTTTCATGTACTGAAAGAATTAATATTGTTAAAATGCCAATGCTACCAAAAGTCATCTATGGAATCAATGTCATCCCCATAAGATTCCAATGGCATTTTTCACAGAAGTGGAAAAGAGAATCCTAAAATTTATAAGGAATCACAAAAGACCCTAAATAGCCAAAGCAATCCTGAGAAAGAAGAAAAAGGAGACATCATACTTGCTAATGCAAAGCTGTATCATTAAGCAGGGGTGTCAAACTCATCTTCACCAGGGGCCACGTCAGCCTTGCAGTTGCCTTCAAAGGGCCAAGTGTAATTTGAGGACTGTATAAACGTAACTACTCCTTAACTAGGGGCAAGGAGCTCAACACTGCCACCATGTAGAAACAAGGTGCTGGCCAGATAAAATGAGGTGGAGGGCTGGATTCGGCCCATGGGCCTTGTGTTTGCCACCTGTGCCATAAAGCTATCATAATCAAAACAATATAGTATTCACATAAAAACAGACAAATAAATCAATGGCACAGAATTGATAGGCCAGAAATAAACCTAAGATTATATGGTCAACTAATATTTGACAAGGAAGCTAAACATACTCAGTGGACAAAAGATAGTCTCTTCAATAAATGATGTTGGGAAAACTGGATAGCCATATGTAAAAGAATGAAACTATACCCCTATCTTACACTACTGACAAAAATTAACTGAAAATGTATTAAAGACTTAAATATAAGAGATGAAACCATGAAGCCTGAAGAAAACACAAAAAAGACGCTCCTTAATATGGATCTTGGCAATGATTTTTTGGATATGACACCTAAAGCATGAACAACAAAACAGAAAATAAACAACTAGGATTACATCAAACTAAAAATGTTTCTGCACAGCAAAAGAAACAATGAAGTAAAAGGCCCACAAAATCAGGAAAAATATATGCCAACCATATATCTGATAAGGTGTTAATATCCAAATTACATAAGGAACTCACACTACTCAATAGCAAAAAAAACAAATAATGCAATTTTAAAATGTGCAAAAGACCTGAACAGACATTTTTCAAAAGAAGATAATATTGTACAAATGGTGAACAGGTACATGGAAAGATGCTCAACATCACTGAAAATCAGGGAAATGAAAATCAAAATCACATTAAGATATTACCTTGCCTGTTAGAATGGCCATCAACAAAAAGATAAGACAGAAAATGCTGGTGAGGACATGGAGAAAAGGGAACCCTGTGCACTCTTGGTGGGATTATAAACTGCTTCAGCCACTATTAAAAACAGTATGGAAGATGCTCAAAAAATTAAAACTAGAACTACCATATAACTGAGCAATTCCACTTCTAGGAATATTACCAAAGAAAATAAAACACTAACTCAAAAAAGATATCTGAACCCCTATGTTCAAAGCAGCATTATTTACAATAGCCAAGATATGGAAAAAACCTAAGTATCTACTAACAGATAAATGGGCAAATAAGCTGTGGTATAGATATACAATACAATATTATTCAGCCATAAAAAATGAGGAAATCTGCCATTTATAATAACATGGATGGCCAGGGGGCATTATGCAAAATGAAATAAGTCAGATAGAGAAATACAAATACTGTACGATATCACTTATATGTGAAATAGGAAAAAAAACCTACAGAGAAAAAAATCAGACTTCTGGTTACCACCAGTGAGGGGACAGGAGGAAGGGAAACTGGAGGAAGGTAATGGAAAGGTACAAACCTCCAGTTATGAGTGCTAGGGATGGAATATACAACATGATAACTATAGTTAATATTACAGTATGATTTATATGCAAGTTGTTAGGATTTAAGAGTTCTCATCACAAAAAAATTTTTTTCCTTTTTCTTTTTATTGTATAAGATAATGGATTCTAACTTAATTATTGTGGTAATCATTTCACAATAGATATAAGTCATACCACTAAGCTGTGCACCTTAAATTTATACAATGAAGTATCTCAATTATATCTCAATAAAACTGAAAAAAAAAAACCTTTTAAATATCTCCCCTAAATAAGCTCTGGACCTGATGGCTTCATGGATATTACCATATGTATAAAAAACTAATACTAAACCTTCTCAAACTCTTCCAAAAAACTGAACATTTCTTAATTAATCTATAAGGGCAGCATTTCCCTAATACCTAAGCCAGACAAAGACACAAGAAAACTACAGACACATATCTCTTATAAACACTAATGCAAAAATCCTCAAAAATTCTAGCAAATTGAATTCAGCAGCATATTAAAAGGATTATACATCATGAACAACTGGTTCCCCCCCAACCGCCAAATGAAGGGGAAAAAACATGATAATCTCACTTGATGCTAAAAAAGCATTTAACAAAAGTTAATAACCATTTATGGTTAAAAACTGAAAAAAAAACTAGCAATAGAAACTATCTCAACATAATAAAAATAATATATGAAAAAAAAATCACAGTAGCATCATACTCAATGGAGAAAGATCAAACACTTCTCCAAAATCAGAAAAAGATGCCCAGTTTTGCTGCTTCTATTCAACATAGTGCTGAAAGATCTAGCCAAAGCAATTAGGCAAGAAAAGGAAATAAAACGCTTCCAAACTGAAAGGGAAGAAGTAAAATTGTATCTGTTTGCAGACAATACTTTTTTTCTTTGTAAGTATATTTTATTGATTATGTTATTAAAGTTGTCCCATTTCTTTCTCCCTTTATTCTCCTCTGCCCTGCACACTGCCCCCCACCAGCATTCTCCCACCCCTTAGTTCATGTCCCTGGGCCAAATTTATAAGTTCTCTGGCTTCTCCATTTCCTATACTATTCTTAACATCTCCCTATCTATTTTGTACTAACCATTTATGCTTCTTACTCCCTGTACATTCTCCCCCATTCTCTCCCCTCCCTTTTCCCCTCCCCATTGATAACCCTCCATGTGATCTCCAGTTTTGGGATTCTGTTCCTATTATAGTTGTTTGCTTAGTTCATTTTTGTTTTTGTTTTAGGTTCAGCTGTTGATAGTGGTGAGTTTGTTGTCATTTTACTATTCATAATTTTGATCTGTGTCTTTATCGTAGATAAGTCCCATTAACATTTCATATAATAAGGGCTTGGTGATGATAAACTTCTTGAAGTTGACCTCACCTGGGAAGCACTTTATCTGCCCTTCCATTCTAAATGAAAGCTTTGCTGGATAGAGCAATCTTGGATGTAGATCCTTGCCTTTCATGACTTGGAATACTTCTTTCCAGCCCCTTCTTACCTGTAAGGTTTCTTTTGAGAAATCAGCTGATAGTCTTACGGGGACTCCTTTGTAGGGAACTGTCTCCTTTTCTCTTGCTGCTTTAAGATTCTCTCCTTATCCTTAATCTTGGGTAACTTAATTATGATATGCCTTTGTGTGTGCTTCCTTGGGTCCAACTTCTTTGGGACTCTCTGAGCTTCCTGGACTTCCTGGAAGTCTGTTTCCTTCGCCAGACTGGGGAAGTTCTCTTTCTTTATTTTTTCAGATAAGTCTTCAATTTCTTGCTCTTCTTCTCCTTCTGGTATCCCCTATGATTCAGATGTTGGAATGTATAAAGTTGTCCTGGAGGTTCCCAAGCCTCTCCTAATTTTCTTGAATTCTTGATTCTTCATTTTGTTCTGGTTGAATGTTTATTTCTTTCTTGTGGTACAAATCATTCATGTGAGTCCTGGTTTCCTTCCCTTCACTGATGGTTCTCTGTATATTTTTCTTTACTTCACTTTGCCCAGCCTTCAGTTTTCCTCTTTTTGTGTGTGTGTGTGACCATACTCAACCAATTCTGTGAGCATCCTGATCACCAGTGTTTTGAACCCTGTAACTGATAGGTTGGCTATCTCTTCATTGCTTAGCTCTGTTTTTGGAACTTTGATCTGTTCTTTCATTTGGGCCATATTTTTTTTTTGTTCTCGGCACACCTGTGACATTGTAAGGGGCAGAGCCTTAGGTACTCACCAGGATGGGGCAACCCATGTTGCTGCACTGTGGCACTGTCTATGGGGGAGGGGTCAGAGAGGGAATAAATGCTGCTTGCTCAGCTCTTGGCTGGCTTTCAGTCATTTCTCCTATTACCCACAAACAAATTGGGCTCTTCTGGTGCTGATTCCTGGGTGGGTGGGTTTGTGTACATTCTAGGACCCCATGGGTCTCTCCAGCAAGCTCTCCTGTGAGTCTGGGAGTTTCTCCTGCCACTGAAACCCCACAGGTTTTTAAAGCCAGAGGTTTTGAGGTTTTATTTTCCTGTGCTAGAACCCTGGGTTGCACGGTCTGTCTCTCTCCCCAGTTGTTCCTCCCAGTTTATCTGTACACAAATGTGGGACCTCCTGGTTTGCCTGGTGCTGCCTTGCCTGCCCTTGTCCACTTGCCGAAGCCTGGCCCACCTAGTCCTCCAGGTGCTGCCTACCACATATCCTGTCCTCCCTGGCTACTCATCTCTGTCCCTCCTACCAGTCTGGATGAATGTTTCTTCTTCAACTCCTTGGTTGACAGACTTCTGTACAGTTTGATATTTCTGGCAGTTCTGGTCGTTTGTTTTTAAATGTTCGCAGACAATATTATCTTATATGTAGAAAACCCTAAAGGTTCCATAAAAACAAATCTTGTTAAAACTAATAAATGAATTCAGCAAAGCAGACTAGAAATATCAACACACAAACTAAGCCACATTTTTATATACTAACAATGAATAATCCAAAAAAAAAAAAAAACAAAGAAAACAATTCCACTTAAAATAGCATCAGAAAGGAATTTAGGAATTAATGAAACAAATAAAAGACTGTAATGATAAAAAGTACAAAACACTGATGAAAGAAAGAAGACAAAATAATGGAAAATATCCCATGTTCATGGATAGAAAGACTTGATATTGTTAAAATGCTGTCATTAATACCCAAAGTGATCTACAATTTCAATGCAATCCCTATCAAACTTCCAATGACATTCTTTGTAGTAGAAAGAAATCCATTCAAAAATTCGTATGAAATCTCAAGAAACCCTAAATAACAAAAACAATCTTGAAAAAAAGAACAAAGTTGAAGGACGCACACTTCCTGATTTCAGAAATTACTACAAAGTTATAGTAATCAAATCAGGATGGTACTGGTATACAGATCAATAAAATGGAGAGCCCAGAAATAAATCCTCACATATACAGTCAAATAATTTTTGACAAGGGTACACAGACTATTCAATAAGGAAAGGACAGTCTTTTTAACAAATGGTGCTGGAAATGCTGGATATCCATGGCAAAAGAATGAAGCTGGACTCTCACTTAAAACTATATACAAAAATCAACTAAGAATGGATCAAAAGTACAAATATAAGAACTAAAACTATAAACCTCTTGGAGGAAAACATGAGGGAAAGATTAATGTCATTGTATTTGCCAGTGATTTCGTGGATATAATATCAAAGGCAGAGGCAACAACAACAAAAAAATTAAACAAATTAGACCATCCATCAAAATCAAAAACTTGTGTACCAAAGTACACAATCAACAGAGTAAAAAGGCAATTCACAGAAGGAGGAGGAGATTTGCAAATCATGTATCTGATAAAAGATCAATATCCAGAATATGTAAAGAACTCCTAAAACTCAACAATAGAAACAACCACCCTATCTAAAGATGGACAAAGGACTTGAATATACATTTTTCTAAAAATACACAAATGGCCAATAAGCACAGGAAAAGATGATCATCATCATCATCAATCATTAGGAAAACACAAATCAAAACCACAATGAGATACCACCTAACACCAATCATAATATCTACAAAGAAATAAATAAAAAAAACTGAAGAAATAAGTTTTGGTGAGGATGTGGAGAAAAGGGCACTGTTGTGCACTGCTATGGGAATGTAAAATGGTAACAGCTGTTATGTTAAATAGTGTAGTAGTTCTTTACAAAATTAAAAATAGAATTAACATATGATGCAGTAATTTCACTTCTGGTAAATACCCCAAAAAACTAAAAGCAGGTCTGGAGGAGTATTTGTGCACCCGTATTCACAGCAGCATTATTCACAATAGCCAAAGGTGGAGGCCACCCAAGTGGCCATTAAAGGATGAACGCACAGGAACAATATGGTATACAGTCAGGCGTCACTTAACAATGGAGATGTATTCTGAGAAATGTGTCACTGGCGATTCTGTCATCCTGCTAACAGGAGTGTACTTATGCACACCTCGATGTTATAGCTCACTGCACACCTAGACTATATGATATAGCCTATTCCTCCTAGGCTACACAAACCTGTACAGAATGTTACTATACTAATTACTGTAGGCAACTGTAATGCAATTGTGTTTGTGCATCTAAACATAGAAAAAGTACACTAAAAATATGGTATAAAAGATAAAAATGGTAGACCTGAACAGGGCACTTACTGTGTACAGAGCTTGCAGGACTGGAAATTGCTTTAGATGAGTGAGTGGGAAGGGAAGGGAAAGGAAGGGGACAAAGGGGAGTTGTTGTTTAATAGGCAGACTTTCAGTTTTGCAAGATAAAAAGAGTTTTGGAGATTGGGTGCACAACAGTGTGAATGTACTTAACACTATTGAATTGTACACTTAAAAATGGCTAAGATGGTAAATGTTATGTGTATTTTATCACAATTTTTATTATTAAAAAATACGATTTAGAGATCTGCTATTTAAAATGGTTTTTCTTTAACTCAATATTAGTTCTAAAGAGAAAAGACTTTCTTGTGACAAAGAAACTATGAGCATAATAAGTACCTGTAATAAAGTATTGACTAGTAAGTACAATACTGATCAATCTGCTCAAAGTCTTAATGGCCTTTGTACTAACCCATGAAAAGTAAAAGCCCCTCAGAGAAGTAAATGATTCCCAATGTTCAGATAAAATTTAGTTGTTTTAAGGTTTCTACCTGCCAAATTATAAAATATTTTTAGACAATAAAATAGTCAGAAGCATAATCTTCTTATTTAAATGAAAATACTTACCTGCTAAGTAGTTCTAGTCCAGCAGAGTATTTTGGCAAAGAGGAAACAGTCCTGCCAAAAGAAACATTTATTTTACATAGGAAAAAAAGTTACATACAAAGATTTTGACATTGTCAATTGTAATGTGAAATATTTAAAATGACAGCTTACCTAAACTTTTAGAAAAATGTATTGCTTTATTTGAAAGTTCACATACCATAATATCTCTATCAACCATCACTCTGCCCTCTAGATTATTTTCAGAACTAATAATATAATAAACACTTTAATGTAGAACAAAATAATAATTTTTATAAAAAAGTTCATGATTTCTATGTTTAAAGTGAAATTTGGTCATATGCTTTACTTTATTAAAAAATGACACCAGCTGGTGGCAAGATGGCAGTGGAGTAGGAGAGTTTATCTCACAGTGCCTCCCAGAACCAAGCTGAAAATAAAAATAAAGAGGGGAATATCCACCCAAAATAAACAACTGAGGTACTTAACCAAGGTAGGGACTCGAAAGGGGCTGGCACCAATTTTACAGGTGGTGGCTGAGGCACCCGCACAGCTGAGGGAGCTTCCCCCAGAGAGGAGTGAGGCTTGGACCTCAGACCCAGCTCCCAAGTATGAGCACCAGTGTTGGGATCACCCACCCATGAAGCACCCAGTGATGAAAGGCCATGGATTTCTTTTGCCTAACAGAGAAAGATGGATCCCACTGGAGAGAAAGCCACCTTTTTTTTTTCCTTTTTTCCCTTTCTTTTGTTATAAGGGGCTAACACACAGGATTCACATTCCTGGCCACTCACCTTTGGCTCAGGTAAAAGGAGGGCAGCACTGTCAACAGTGGGGCAAGGAGAATCAGGAGTGGGCAGGTGGGGGAGAGCCATAGGGGACCTGCTGCTGGGTTCCTGGTGCTGGGATATAACACCATACTGTAGCAGCCATTTTTCTTAAGAACAAGCCCCTCCCAGGGTAAAAACAATTACCCCATCCTGTGGAAAAACCCACTTGCCCCAGCCTCTGTAAGCCACTTAACCCAATTTGGGATTCCCCTTGCCACACCCTTTGAAATCCTGCTTGCCACAACCAGCATCTTTCTTACTTTCCCCCAACCTGCACCTTATCCCTTGCCATGAAGACAGCAACACAGACAGATTCACAGGTATTAGAGACTGGTTTTAGGGCACAGCCATTCCATAAACTCTCCCGGGAACCAGGCTGTTGCTTCTCCCTCACAGGAAAGCCTAGGAGCACCATCAGACCCAAATTCTTGGCTCTGGAGGCCCCACCTGCTACCTGATTAGGGGCTTCGCCCTGCAGAATTCAGAGAAATAATCTGGGACAGACTCAGATGTGTGAACACATCCACCATCTTCCCTGAAGTCTGAATGGCACCTTCCACAGCAGATCCAGGGGTCCTGCTCTCCCAATTTGACCAGAAGCCGTTTCAGAAACAGACAGGGCAGCAGCTACACTAACGGCAAGACAGCAGGCAGAGGCCAGTGGAAGAGGTAACTATGCTGCTTTCTGCGGTCAGTGGATCCAACCCTGTGCATAGTGCAGATAAACAGCCAGCAACACAGTGCAGTGAGGACCACCCTGGATGAGCCAAGCATGGAGGAGACAACCACAGAATGTGAATCGCTTTTAGCTCCAAACAGGCTGCCTAGAGCTACATGGGGAAAACATCTGACATCAGCTTACACTAGCTTCAGAAAACCAGAGGCGTAGTATCCAAAAGGAGAAACCAGCAGACAAGCACCAAACTCTGCTGGGACAAACACTACCTCAGTCTTTTTCATTATATGCCTTTTTTCTTTTGCATATGTTTTTAACATTTTTCTTCAAATTTTTCCTATTTTTTTCACTATTTTTTATTACAAATCTCATATTTTACTCTTTCCTTTTCTTACATCATTTTGTCTTCCTTATCCTCTTTCTTATTTTTGTTGTAAATATCTTTTCCCCTTCTTCTTCTTGTTTCTATTCATTACTCTTACTGTTTCTCCTCCCTCTATCCTCTAAAAATCACTTTTCTTTCCTTTAGTCATCTCATACTCATTTTTTCTTTCTTATAACATTCTTATTCTCTTTCCACCTTTATGCACCTCTATGACAGCACAGAAGACATCAGGAGTTGAAACTCTGTCAGCCAGCCAAAGGGGAAGACCCACAAATGCATGAGCCTTCAACAACCAAAACCCGAAAACAATAAAAGAGCTCACGTAAACTGCATAAAGGGCATCCCTAGCGCATCCAGCTCAGGGGATCTGGGAGATTGAACCACCGAGTTTCACAGGACTCCTACCACAGAAGGCCACCCCATGAAGTCAGGGAGTCAAACCAGATCAATTTAATACACAGAAACAAACAAAAAGAGTCACCCAAAATAGAGAAACAAAGAAACAACCCCCAACTGAAAGGAAGGGAGGTATCCCTAGAAAAGGAGCTAAGTGAAATTGAAGCAAGCAATTTAAAGACACAGAGGTTTAAAAAAATGGTTGTAAGGATGCTAAAGGAACTTAGTGAGAACTTGCAAGGAAATTATTAGAGTTACAAAGATCTTTGTGAGAACTACAACAGTGTGAAAAAGGACACAGAAACTATTATTAAGAACCAGGTGGGGAGCTTGCCACAAAGATGTAGACTTAGATAGTAGATACCCTTCACCTCCTCACACAACCAAAGGAGGGATAATAAACAATTTTAAAACAAAAATCAACCAGAACTGCCAGAAAACAGAATTGTATGGAAGTCAGACAACCAAGGAGTTAAAGAAGAAACATTCATCCAGACTGGTGGGAGGGGCAGACAGGCAGCCAGGGCAGAAAGAACCCGCAGCAAGGTTGCAGCTGGCATACTGGGTGGGCAAGGCAATGGCTGGCAGACTGGGTTGTCCTATATTCGTCTGTGGATAGACCAGAAGGACCTGGCGATAAACCAGCTGTTACTGGGGAGCGAGGCAAACCCACAACCCAGGGTTCCACGTGGGAAAAGAAAGCCTCAGAACCTCTTGTTATAAAAACCTGTGGGGATTGTGGTGGTGAGAAAAACTGCCAGTCTCACAAGAGAGTCCACTGGAGAAGTCCATGGTGTCTGAGAATGTACACAAACCCACCCACCTGGGAATCAGCACCAGAAAAACACAATTCACTTGTAGGTAGAGCAGGCAAGTGACTGAAAGTGAAGCGAGAGCTGAACAAGTAGCATTGTTCCCTCTCTGACCACTCTGCCACATATAGCACCACAATGCAGTGAAGTGAGTTGCTCTGACCTGGCAAATACCTAAGACTCTGCCCCTTACAATGTAACAAATGCGTCCAAAGAAATATGACCCAAATGAAAGAACAGAGCAAAACTCCAGAGAAAGAACTAAGTGACAAGGATATCGCCAACCTATCACATGCAGACTTCAAAACACTGGGAATCAGGATGCTCACAGAAAAGACTGAGTACAGATGCAAAGGAGAGGAAGAAGTGAAGGCTATGCAAAGTGAAATAAAGAAAAATATACAGGGAAGCAACAGTGAGGGGAAGGAAACCAAAACTTAAATCAACAATATGGAACAGAAGGAAGAAATAAACATTTAACTGGAACAGAATGAAGAAACAAGAATTCAAAAAAAAAGTGAGGAGAGGCTTAGGAACCTCTGGGTCAACTTTAAACATTGCGACATCTGAAGCATAGGGGTGCCAGAAGGAGACGAGAAAGAGCAAGAAATGGAAAACTTATTTGAAAAAATACTGAAAGAAAACTTCCCCAATCTGGTGAAGGTAATACACATACAAGTCCAGGAAGCCCAGAGAGTCCCAAAGAAGCTGGACCCAAGGAAGCACACACCAAGGCTCATCATAATTAAATTACCCAAAATTAAAGATAAGGACAGAATCTTAAAAGCAGCAAGAGAAAAGGAGACAGTTACCTACAAAGGAGTCCCCATAAGACTATCAACTGATTTCTCAAAAGAAACCTTACAGGTAAGAAGGGGCTGGAAAGAAGTATTCAAAGTCATGAAAAGCAAGGATCTACATCCAAGATGACTCTATCCAGCAAAGCTATCATTTAAAATGTAAGGGCGGATAAAATGCTTCCCAGAGAAGGTCAAGTTAAAGCAGTTCATCATCACCAAGCCCTTATTATATGAAATGTTAAAGGGACTTATCTAAGAAAAAGAAGATCAAAACTATGAATAGTAAAGTGACAACAAACTATCAAAAACTGAACCTAAAAAAAACACAAAAATAAAAACAAACTAAGCAAACAACTAGAACAGGAACAGAATCACAGAAATGGAGATCCCATGGAGAGTTATCAGCAGAGAGGGAGATGGGGAAGAATGGGAGAAAAGGTACAGGGAACAAGAAGCATAACTGGTAGGTACAAAATAGACAAGGGGAGGTTAAGAATAGTACAGGAAACAGAGAAGCCAAAAATCTTATATGTACAACACACGGATATGAACTAATGACAAAGGGGAATGCTGGAGGGAATGGGGAGTACCAGGTGGAGGGGGATGAAGTGAAGAAACAAATGGGACAATAGCAATAGCATAATCAGTAAAATATACCAAAAGAAAAAGAACCAGGTAAAAATGAAGAATGCAACATCCGAAATGAAGAATACACTAGGACTAGGAATACAGGTTAGAAGAAACAGAGGAAAAAAGGTAGAAAAAAAAACACTCAGAGCAACAAAACAAAAAAATTATTCAAAAAGAACTAGGACAGTTTAAGAGAGCTTTGAGACAATATAAAATATGACAATATTTGCACCATGGAGACACCAGAAGGAAAAAAGAGAGAGCAAGGAACAGAAAACCTATTGAAAAATAATGAAAAAACCTCCCCTACATTGGTGAAGAAAAAAGTTCAGGAAGCACAGAGAGTCCCAAGCAAGAGGAACCCAAAGAGGCCCACTCCAAGACATATCACAATTTAAAGAGCAAAATTTAAAGCCAAAGAGAGAATCTTAAAGGCAGCAAGGGAGAAATAGGTAGTAACATCCAAGGAAGCTTCAATAAGGCTATCAGCTGTTTTCTCAGCAGAAACACTAGCCAGAAGAGACTAGCACAAAATATACCAACTAATGAAAAGCAAGGACCTGAAACCCAGACTACTTTATCCAGCAAGGCTCTCATTTAAAATGGAAGGCAAAATAAAGCACTTGCCACATTAAAGAAAAAGGCTAAGAGTACATCTCCACTACACTAGCATTGGAAGAGATGCTAAAGAAACTGCTTTAAGAAGACATGGAGAGAGAGAGGAACACAGGTAGGAAGGGATAAAATGGCAACCAATCAATGGCAATGAATCAATGGCAACCTATCAATATTCACCTTAAATGTAAACGGATTAAATGCTCCCATCAAAAGACACAGAGTAGCTGAATGGGTAATAAAACACAACTTACATATATGCTGTCTACAAGAGATCCACCTCAGAACAAAAGATTTACACAGGCTGAAAGTGAAGAGATGGAAAGAAATATTCCGTGCAAAGGCACATGAAAAATGGCTGGGGTAGCAATACTTATATCAGACAAAATAGACTTAAAAAATGCCATAACAAAAGACAAAGAAGGTTACTACATAATGCTTAAGAAAGTAGTCCAACAAAAGGATATAACCCCCGTAAACATATATGCACCTAACATAGGAGCACCTACATTATAAAGAAAATCTTGGAGGACTTTAAGAAAGAGGTTGACAGCAATACACAGTCATTGTAGGGGATTTTAACATCATACTGCCAACAATGGATAACTCTTCCAAACAAAAAATCAAGGATATTGGGGCATTAAATGACACTCTAGAACAAATGGACTTAATTGACATTTACAGAACATTTCACCCCAAAGAAGGAAAATAAACACTCTTTTTAAACCCACCCAGATCATTTTCAAAGAGAGACCACATGGTAGGACACAAAACAAACCTTAACAAATTCAAGGAAACTGAAATCATATCAAGCATTTTCTTGGATCATAATGGCTTGAAACTAGGAACCAACCTCAATGAAAAAACTCAAAAACATTCAAATACACAACGGGTGAACAAGTTATTAAACAATGAATGGGTTAACACTGAGATCAAGGAAGGAATAAAAAAGGATCTGGAAACAAATGAAAATGAACTCACAACAATCCAAAACCTATGGGACACAGTGAAGGCAGTCCTGAGAGGGAAATTCATAGCAACACAGGCCTACCTGAAGAAGATAGAAAAATCTCAAATAAACAACCTAACCCTACATCTAAAAGAACTAGAAAAACAACAATAAACAAAGCCCCAGTGAGTAGAAGAAAGGAAATAATCAAGATTGGAGAAGAATTAAATGACACGGAGACGAAAAGAACAATTCAAAATATCAATGAATCCAGGAGCTGGTTCTTTGAAAAGATAAACGAAAATAGACAAACCCTTAACCAGACTCATCAAGAAAAGGACCAAAATAAATAAAATCAGAAATGAAAGAAAAGAACAACTGATACCACAGAAATACAAAGGATTGTAAGAAATTACTATAAACAACTATATGCCAAGAAATTGAACCTAGGTGAAATGGATAATTTGTATTTCTAGAAAAATACAACATTCCAAAACTGAATCAGGTTGAAGTAGAAAACTGAATACACCAATAACATCTAATGAAACTGAAGCAATAATAAAAAAATCTCCTGACACACAAAAGCCCTGGACCAGATGGCTTCACAGGCAAATTTTACCAAACACTCCAAGAAGAACTAACACCTCTCCTTCTCGTACTATTCCAAAATTTAAGAAGAGGGAAGACTCCCAAACTCTTTTTATGAGACCAGTATTATCCTAATTCCAAAACCAGGTAAAAACTCAACAAAGAAAATTACAGGCCAGTATTTCTCATAAACATAGATGCTAAAATCCTCAACAAAATATTAGCAAACCAGGTCCAGCAATACATTAAAAAGATCATACACCATAACCAAGTGAGATTTATTCCATGGATGCAAGGATGGCACAATATTCGCAAATCAATAAACATAATATATTACAGAAACAAAATGGAAAACAAAAATTACATCAGCTTATCAATAGATGTTGAAAAAGCATTTGATAAAATCTAGCACCCATTTATGATAAACACACTCTGCAAAGTGGGAATAGAAGGAACATACCTGAACATAATTGGGTCATATATGAAAAATCTACTGTCAACGTCACACTCAATGGGCAAAAACTAGACGTGTTTCCATTAAGATCAGGAACAAGACAAGGGTGTCCACTTTCATGCTTTTATTCAACATAGTACTAGAAACAAAAAGATTCCAGTTCTAGCCACAGCAATCAGACAAGAAGAAATAAAAGGCATCCAAACTGAAAAGGAATAAGTAAAACAGTCATTATTCACAAGTGACACAATAGAGGACATAGAAAACCCTACACACTACACAAAAAACAATTTGATTTAATTAGGAAATTCGGTACAGTATCGGAATACAAAGTCAATACTCAGAAATTGATGGCATTTTTGTACACCAATAATGAACTATTAAAAAGAGAAACCAAGGGGGAAAATCCCACGTACTACAGTAACAACAACAACAAAAAAATAAAATACCTAGGAATAAATTTAAACAGAGGTAAAAGACCTATACTTGAAAAACTATAGAACACTGAAGAGAGAAACTGAGAAAGATGTAAGTAAATGGAAACTTATGCCCTGTTCTTGGATGGAAGAATTAACATAATTAAAATGTGCATACCGCCCTAAGTAATCTATAGATTCAACACAATTCCTATTAAAATGTCAATGGCATATTTCATACAACAAATATTCCAAAAATTTACATGGGACCAAAAAAAATTAAAAACCCTGAATAGCCTGAGCAATCTTCAGAAAGAACAAAGTTGGAGGGATTACAATACCTGATATCAAACTATACTACAAGGCCACAGTAATCAAAACAGTCTGGTACTGGCATAAGAACAGACACATTGATCAATGGAACAGAATAGAGAGCACAGAAATAAACCCAAGTCTCTGTGGTCAATTAATATTTGACAAAGGGGGCACAAGCATACAATGGTATAAAAATAGCCTCTTCAACAAATGGTGTTGGGAGAACTGGACTGGTCCATGCAAAAAAATGAAACTAGACCACCAGCTTACATCATACACCACAATAAATACAAAATGGCTAAAAGATTTATAAAATATAAGCTATGATACCATAAAAATCCTAGCAGAACACATAGGAAGTAAAATTTCAGATATCCCGCATAGTGATATTTTTGCTGATACGTCTCCTAGGGCAAGGGAAGTTAAGGGAAAAATAAACAAATGGAACTACATCAAATCAAAAAGCTTCTGCATGGCTAAAGTAACCATCATCAAAATAAAAGGGAACTAACTTCATGGGAGAATATATTTGCCAATGATACATCGAACAAAGGTTTAATCTCCAAAATATATAAAAATCTCATACAACTCAACACCAGGAAGACAAACAATCCAATTAAAAAATGGGCAAAGGACCTGAATAGACACTTCTCCGAGGACATGCAAATGGACCATAGGCATGTGAAAAATTGCTCACCATCACTAGCCATCAGAGAGCTGGAAATTAAAACTACAATGAGATATGATTTCACACCTGCCAAAATGGCTATAATTAATAAATCCACAAACAATTGCTGCTGGGGATGTAGAGAAAAGGGAACTCTATTCTAGTGCACTGCTGGTGGGAATGCAGACTGGTGCAGCCACTATGGAAAACAGTATGGAATTTCCTCAAAAAATTAAAAATGGAGCTGCCTTTTGACCCAGTGATTCCACTGCTAGAACTATACCCTAAGAATCCCAAAACACCAATTCAAAAGAATTTGTGTACCTCTATGTTCATAGCACTGATATTCACAATAGTCAAAAGTTGGAAACAGCCTAAGTGCCCATCAGTAGATGAGTGGATTAAAAAACTTCAGTACCCTTACATAATGGAATACTACACAGCAGAAAAAAGAAGGATCCTACCTTTTGTGTCAGCATGGATGGACCTGGAGAGTATTATGCTAAGTGAAATAAGCCAGTCAGCAAAAGACAAATACATGATCTCACTTATAAGAGGAATCTAATGAACAAAACAAAACAATTAGCAAGAGAGCCAGAGGTATAGAACATGGAACAGACTGATAAGAGGTGAGGAGGGAACTGGGGACTCTTTGAAAGAGGGTGAAGGGATTAGTCAAAGAACATATATGAAGGACCCATGGAAATGGACAACAGTTTGAGTATACACTATAGAAGTGGGAGGGGGTTGGGCGGAGGGGGCCAAGGGGATAAAAATTGGGACAACTGTAACAGCATAAACAATGAAACATTATTTTAAAACAATGACAGCAGAGTTTTCATACAAAACAGGTAGCAGCGCTAATGAAGTTTGCTTGTCAAATATGTTCCATTACTAATTTGCTTCTTAATAATGCAGGATTTTTAATTTGCTTTTTCTTAGTGTACAAATAAAAGTGATTAATTGTGATTGAACAACAACCACTAATTGTCAGAGTGAAACAATTACACTTTTTTACATCATTTTTTCAACCATTTTACAATTTTATCAAAAATTTTTCCAGTGTTACAAAATTTGGAAAGAATCAATAAATTGTTTTGTAATTAGATACACTCAAGAGATCTAAAACCCACTGAAGTAACTATACTATTATGACTACAACCAAAAGCTGGATGAAATTTAAGTCACAATAAATTAAATCTTTTCCCACGCTTACCTTGGTTTGCTCTTTACTTTAGCTTCTCTTGACTTGTCACTTAAAGTCTTCAACCTATAATTCAACAAGTATAAAATATTCTTAGAGCTCAAGAAAATATTCAACAGTAAATTTCACAGCCGTTCATATTTGGGTCAGATGAGCTAAATTTTTTTAGCAAGAATTAAGCATTTCTACAGAAAAATTATTTGTAAAAAATATAGTGTTTACTATTTGTTAGCTCTCCCAAATAAAAAATCTGTAGCAAACATTATAAGTAGTACATAGTAAAAACAAGCAGTCTTACTCTTTACTGTATGTGAAATACTACAAATGGAAACTTTGTAGCAAAACTTTCTATAATTTTTCTTGTCCCAAATTCTTTTTTTTTAGAAACAATTCCTAAATACAATCAGACTAGTGAATTTGGCAGGTTTAACAAAGCTAAGCAAGCAACATATTTTATTAAGTAAATACTATGCCAGATACTCAAATCTGTAAGTACCAACATTTGGTGAAATTTTAGCTACTTATAAAAAGTTTTTTAAAATGTATTACAAACTTTTCTCATTAAAGAGGATGTGGTATAGTCTAACATTTTCATAATCTCCAGGTCATAATTTATGACTACCACTGACTGCATTTTTGTGGCAAAATAGTACTATCCTCACATGTTTCCAAGCTAGGAATGCCTCTTCATTTTCCAGCTTGATACCAATCTACACCAGTTTTTTTAGCTTGTTTGGGAATCCTGCATCTATTTTTTTCAAATTTAAATTTTCCATTTCCACCACTGGCCATCTCTTTATCAGCTATCACTTACTGCTTCTTCGAGCTACTTATCTATACAGCTTCTTTCCCTTCTATTTGGTTTTTTAAAGCAAGTAGAAAGGGAAAAGATATAAATGGAAAATACATGCTAGAAAACATAAATGGGCCAGAATGGATACATATAATGAAATACCTTTCTATATATAAAATATTAAGTTCATAAAGTTTGTATAATTTATTTCGCTTCAGTGGTCCACTCTTACCTTCTTTTGGCTGTGGACTTTGTACTATATAATTGACGTTGCCAAAAAGTAAGTGGTAGATTATGATATAATCTCATATGAGATATTGCTGTATGTGCTCTTTTTGATCACTTCAACAAATGTTCATTTGTAAATAAAGTCTGAAGCATAAGCCATGGTACTACTGACAGCCCCTAACAGCCTTTGTAAGAACAGAAATAAGTGCTTCTTCCTCAAGACACCTTACTGCCATCATCCAGAAACTGCACTCATCCACAAGGCGACTCTCATACGAATGTACCAACCCTGTGTTGTACAGTGTATGATCTGCCCAACTATTCATGCAAACCTTGACACGGGGTTCCATCTTTTTTGTCAGTAATGCCTGGCTAAACACCAGAAGGGAACTTCTGATCAAATGACTTCAGCCAATCGGAATGCCAATTTCATACAAAGATTTTTATGTCACTCAATGTACTTTTTCAAAAATTAAAATATTGATGAGACTGATAGCTCTACAATGTTAAAAAGACTACATAATCCCTTTGATACAAATTAATTTGTATATTTCTCCAGATGAGTCTAAGAAATTGTATTAAAGAAGTCTAGCCTGTCCTGGAGAAACAAGTAAATCTGGTTTAAAGTAGATTAGGCAACAACAAGAGAAAGGTATTTTGATAGCTATGTTCTACCATTTCTACTCCGAAGTTTGAGAAAAGAACTTAGTTTTGACATCTGACATAGGATTAACCTAGACAGTCTACACAACAGTGTATTACACTCAAAATTATTTTAGTATTATTTTTAGTGATTCAGGAAAGTTGTGTATGGTTAGCTGTTACAAGGATATTGAAAGGGAACTGCGAAGATCCTCTTTTGGCCACTCTTATGTGATCTCACATACACTTAGGTTGGTATTTCAAATATTTATTTCTAAAATAACTTTTAGCACTAAGTCAGAGAACGACAAATACCTCATGATTTCACTTACATGTGGAATTAAAAAGGTAAAAACAAAGAAACAAACTGAAACAAAAACAGAGGAATAAAGAACTGATGGTTGCCAGAGGGGAAGGGGATGGGTGAAGAAAGTGAAAGGGAATATAGTTAATAACAGTGTGATAACTTTACACGGTTGATTACTAGACAGATAAATACTAAACTTAAGTGTGGTGAGCACATCATCAGATTCGTAGATGACAAATCACTATGCTGTATACCTGAAACTAAAACTATTGTATAACATTTATACTCTAATAAAAAAAGTAATAAAGTAGTGTCAGTCTGTTGGGTAAAACATAAGAATGTGGTGGGAAAAGTTAAGCAGACTGGCTACTTTGGCAGTACAAAATAAAATATCTCTAGCTACCTATACACCTATATCTATAATAAAAGAGAGGAGAAAACAAACCACAAGTGTGAATACTGCATGAAGAAATGAGAAATAATCATCACTGCCATTGCTATTTCTTTCACTTTTGGTCATATTAAACTCAAATCATTTCCTATAAACTGAGCATGGTGTTATTTAATCAATCAAAGTAATTCATACTGAATGTCACATCTTTTCTTCACTTGTACTTGTATAAATTGCTTATATTGCATTATTACTCAATTTGTTGCATAATGTTAACCATTAGTCCCAGTCATGTTAATGTTCTAGATATCTTTAAAAGTGCAGAACTTTGGATTATTATGTAATGTTAGGAATCAATAAAAATCACCCTAAAAAATAAAATAAACTTTTTAATTTCTCATTTGTAATATATCAACTTTAGGATTCTCCTCCTTTCCCCCCACCCACCCCTCAAAAGAAAACAAATTAGTTTGGGAGTAACAGAGAAAGAGGGAATATTACACGGAGCTCAAAATAAAATTGTTGAAGGAATCAATGAGAGCTTCCCCATGTGCTTCCTTAACAGCTATCTGCTTTAAAAATTGGTCTTTAACTAAACGTATGTGTAGAACTTATCTGATCTGGATTTGAACAAATCAACTGTAAAAAGACTTTCTAAGAACCAGGAACTCTGACTATGGACTGGATAACTGATAGTGTCAAAGAATTAGTGTTCATTTTATTAGGTATGATAACTGGCATTACATTTATGTCATATCTGTATTTTTTTAGAGATGCAAACTGATGTGTGAGAGATAATAAAAGACAAGCCTGAGATTTACTTTACAAATAAGGGGAGAGACAAAGCAACTGTGGCAATAGTTGACAATTGCTGAATCTGAATAATGGAGATGGGGGGTCACTGTGTTATTTTGTTTTTGCGTATGTTTGAAACTTCATAAAAATTTTTTTAAACCAAAACAGTCTTTTAGATATTCTTTTTTCTCATTACATCTTTTGCATATAAATTGGCAATGTGTCAAAATTCAGAATAGAAACTGTTAGAGAAAACAAAGTTATCTAGAAGGAAATGAGAAACAGTCAATAAAATTCAGGAGAGAAAAAAAGGTTGAAATGATTCTTATTTTAAGTTGAAAAATATATGAGGTCAGATATATTTAACAAGTGACAAAAAAGCAAAAGGATTCTAAAATACATTCTACAGCAAGAATTCAACTTAAAATAGCTTAATATTTTTGTTTTGGCATAACTCTAGTTAAGTTTCTTACAGTGGCCCTATGCTGGAAATAACCCACCAATAAAGTCTATCTAATCTACCACAGTCTTACGACACACTGAGAAGGAAATACTGATCTGGGTGTAAATACCCCAGCTTCCTCAAACATAAAATGGTAGTATTATACTGACCATAATGATTTGCCACAAGAATTAAATAAAATTCCAAATATGATTTTTGTAGCATTCTGTAAACTATAGAGCTAATTCAAATAAAAAGTATCACCATCAAGAAAGGTAAGAAGCTACTAACATTACAGGGCCAGCATGAAAGAAAGAGGAGGTCCCCCCACGCACCAGTTCCTATACAAGGCTTCTTCACTGTTCCGAAACTTCCTATTACCATATACCCCTAGGAAGATGTAAGTGCCGCTGTGTGAGGATATTAATATACAGACTTAAGTGAGCCACCTGACAGTTATTTTCTACCAAAAGCAACTAATGCACCTTTTTGAGTTCAAAGCACTAAACCTCAAATTCATCAGAGCATCACAGCACTTCAATAATTTATTTTTAGACTGTCCTAAAGACTCAACCTTAATTTGACACCAGCACATTTATTTCTTCAAGCTTTGTGGAAAATACTAACATGGAGGCATCTTACTAAGAAATGGAGGTGATGAGCAAAACTGCTTAGACAAAAAAAAATTTAAAAAGGAGATAAACAGAATGATAGGGAGAGCACTACAATGACTGAAGAACAGAAAATGTGTTTTCTCTGCTGATTCAATGTCATGGGGTGACCCTGATGGCAATCTATTTATTTGCACCTCAATTTCCTACTCATCTAACTTCATCAGCTATTATAAAAGATAAGGATGATTGCTTTTGAAACACCACAAAATATATTAGTTAGCATATTTTGTCATCTAGGTTCAATTCCTCCCACCATGTTCATGTCTCCACTACTCTGACTTTAAATTCTCTTTATGAGTACAAATCCAATCTACTGTATTTTCCCATTAATGTTCAATTTTTTTTTCTAAAAACACATCAGGGAAACACAAAAGCATCAATCACACTTAAAAGTACACATGACCCCTTAATCTCTGAACCCTGAGGGATTCACACAAAAGCTGGCACAGATTCAGGAAAGGGAGAGAAATTCAGACTACATCCTAATTAATCCCAAATACACCATTTGAATTCTGACCTCTCTGCTGAGTGTTTCTTAAATTTTTAACTAACTTTTGGAGGTCAAGCTGTTAAATTAATGCATAACAAATTTACTGTCAACTGCTCCTTCTCTCTTAAAACTATTCTTAAATTCTTTCATGCTGGTAAATGACATCATTTAAGAAACTCCAAAATTACCATCCCCACTTTCCCCACCATTTTCACTTCCTGCCTCTCACTGTTTACAAATCTGACAGGAGCTTGTCAGGTCCATTCCTTCTTTACATTCCTACGAGTCCTGCGTTACCCCCCTCTCACCTGACCTTCAATGACATCCTCCTCAATGATCTCCCTGTTCCTCATACCTAGCCCTCCATCACACTGCCTCCCAAATTATCCTTTCAGAAATCTAGACAGGCTCATGTTGCTCCACTTCACAAAAGCCTTCAAAAGATTCAGTCAACCTAAAAATAAGCCAGGACCATCCTATATAAAGCAATCACCCCATTCTCAATCCCCCTTAACCTGTTTTATTTTTAGTAACAGTACATATGACCTTCTAGATACTTGTCTCCTGCCACTAGAAGGAGAGCAGGGATGTTATTTGCTGTCTAGTGTGTTCTCTGCTATATCCCTAGCTCCTAGAATAGTACCTGTCACAGAGAAAGTGGTCAATTAATATTTGCTAAATGTATTATTAACTTAGCAAAGCATTAAAAATCTTCTATTATCAGTCACTAAACTTTCTTTCCAGCTTTACCTTCCACCTCTGAAAGACCCTTAACTAAATGTATCACAATCCCTCTTTATGCAACAAGGCTCAGTTTAGAAGACACCTCCTCCTTGAAGCCTTCTGCAAATGCACCTGACTTAATGACTCTTTCCTGTGGGCTCACATACCACATCTCTTGTACCTTTAATATTCAGTTCCCTCTCCTTTGCTTTGTAACACCACAAGTCTAGGGCACACAGAGGGCAGAAACCTTTTACAGACAGAGGGCAGAAACCTTTTAGTCAATTTTGCAGGCCCAAGATGTAGCTCAATATAGAGACACTGCTTAACAAAGGCTGTGTAAAACTGAGCATGTGACCTCTTCAATCTTTTTTTTTAATAAAATGAAAAAAGCATCTATGAGACAGGACAGTTTGGGTGCCTATTCTAGTGTCTGGCACTTGGTAGGAACTCAGTAACTATCTACTAGATCAAGTTGAACATTGAGTAGCTTTCTGCTTATTAAAAAGGTGAATAGTTCTGGAAGAGTCAACATTTCAGGCAAAACCTCACCATTTTACCACACTGCAAATTAGACTAATAGATCCTCTCCTTTGAGCAGGTTTTGATACTATAGGAGGGGAAGAGAGAATGAGCATACTGGGTAGAGGTCTTGGCAGAGGGGGCTTTGAGAGGTGAACACCCACTGTCTTGGTTGCAACTAGTAATATCACATTCTCCATCCCTAGCCACAAGAACCCACAGCATTATAAACAGGAAATGTCAGCCGGTGCCAGGCAGCTGTAAACGTAAATAAATCTGATTTTCAGTTTCCTGAAGGGTTTGTCATGCCTGAATACTTCAATCCTAAGGCCTTTGGTGTTTACTCCAAAGGTAAAAATTGAAGCCCAGGGTGGATGTGAAGTATGTACTTCAGTGTAGCTATCTAAAAGTTTCCCTCAGAGCTTCAGCCAGTCCTTTAAAAGCAGGTGTTCTACATGCACTCTCCAAAAGACTCCACGAGTTCTGAGTGGGTTAAATCTAATCAGGACTCAAGTGAGGGGAAGAGTGAGGCCCACAACCAATCCCCTCAATCCTGTGGCCTTTGGGCCAGTTACGCACCCACTTATGTCAGAAAAGGACATAACTTCTAGGTTTATCTCAATTTTGACATAGTTATTATGAATAAAAGTTACAAAAAAGGCCATGAGTCCATGGAGAGCCTACAGTCCTCCACAGGCCACCAGCAATCTCTACACTGTCCTTAACCAATGATCTTTACAAGAATTCTTAGTTTGAATGGAAGGCAGAAATTCATGGTATTCGTAGAATAAGGTTTAATCACTAATGTGACATTCTCCTGTGAGAACAATAAAGAATAATCTTATTTTACTTAAACAAGAAAATTTTCCTACAGTTAGGCTCAAGTTGTATAAATTTTCAAAAACTGAAAATGAGCACCAACATGAGGATGTTCTGTGACAGTGAAGCAATGCTGGCCACACTGCAACAGCTCAGAAAAGGACAAGACCTTCCACTTCTAACGGACTGATTCCTGGGTCCAACTTGAACAGTTGAAGTTTCCAATTATTTGAGCTGCTCTGGCTTCTACAGGCATCACCACCAAGTGTTCTAAAAGAATGCCAGTTCCAGTGTGATAATTTGGGGAAGTGAGAGCCATGTCACTTTTATCTTTGAATCCCTTAGTGTCTTCACACAATATACATGTGCTGTGTTTAAGCTCATCTTTTCTCAGCAAGGCAAAATATTCAATTGCATAAAATAGGTTAATCTCAAGCTATATATGTGTTTATTAAATAAATTAAGTGGGTTTTTTTCTTAGTAAGAATTGCATAGGAATTTGAGAACCTGACAAAAGTGAACAGAGTTTAAAGTTTCTAGTCAACCAGAAGACAGCTATCACTTGGAAATGACTTATTTCCCTGCCAGGTAACAGGCACACATTGGCAGTCCAGTGGTTTGTCAGCTGAGAGTGACCTGTGTAAGGAGAAAGCCAACAAGGGACCTAAATGGAATGAAAGCCCTCTCAGGATGTCTAATCCCAAACTAACCCCACTCTATGGCATCTTTCATGAAGTCACTTTCCATACAGTTCTAATCAGATCCCCTCAACCCTCTCCCTAAAGTCAGGTTATCCAGCCCTCCCAGGATGGTTTTGGTCCAGAATCCATATTCCTAGCTAAGTTTAACTTTCTAAGCAAAGGTCAGGTGTGAGAATGGGTTCTGAGGCAACCAACCCACCACCCGGAAAGTTACAGTATCTACCAGAAGATGGACTGTTATTCTATCAAGGAATTCCTTGAAGTAATGCTAACAGGGCTGTACTATGCTCATGTTACAAGTAGATCATTCCAGCATCACACCAAAATTTTTCAATGTAACAATTTACACTACGAAAAGAAGTTACTATTTAAAGGGGGGGGATGCAAACACACCATCGATAAATGACTCCTAGAGGATCTATAATTAATGTTATTAAGAATACCAAAACGACCAAAGAAGCTTTATAGGTAAGTGCTCAGCAATTTGCCAGGTTTTTACTACTCAGCACCCAAATGGTAAACAATATAAACATTTTTGTTCAATAAGATAAAATTTTAACTAACATCTTTCTGATGAGAAATTTAATACAGCATTTTCAAGATGCCCTCATATTTACAGCATTCTCCAAAGGATCGGTGAGCCAAAGATGACCAATCTTTTATAAAGGACACAGAGTAACAACAATAGTGACATAGATCTTACATGTTAATTCATAAATCCCCACAATAACTCCACTGTATGGTCGTGGAAACTGAGGCAATTCAAGTAACTTGCACAAGTTTGCTTAAGTGGTAGATGAAAACCTGTGGTTCACAGACTTAGCCACACACTGAAAATCACCGGCGGGGTGTGGGGTGTAGAGTGAGTGGTCTTTAAAACTCCATTCCCGGTCTAATTTAATTGGTATGAGCTGCGACCCAGGCATCACGATTGTTGAAGGTGCCCAGGTGATTCTACGCAAAGTTTGAGAAGCGCTTGATTTTTGCTCTTAACCATTAGGCGTTGATAGTATTGCTATAGTTCTGTTGTTTATCTTGCCCTCGGGTTTCTACACTGCGGCGCTAAAATCGGGACAAAGGTAGAGAGAGAAAGCAAAAGGGGAAGAGGCAACAAGATTTGTCCAGGGTTAACGGCGCAAGCTGAGGCTGGACGCAGACTGCTCGGCCGTGACCGGAAAGGCTGTGGGGCCAGTGACGAGGGGAAGGGGCGGCGGTCCCACTCCCGGTGGGGCCCGCGAGGGCAAGTGTCCCGCAGGAGTTCGAGAGCGCAGAGAGGGCGCGGGGTCACAGTCTCGGGGGGAGGGGAGGGGGCACGCTCCCTCTCACGTTACGCCCCTCCTCCGGCCCGCGGACGCCGCCGGCAAGGGGGTACAGCCTCCGGGCCGCTTCAGACCACCCCAGCCCCTGGGGCGCGAGTCAAAGCCAGTCGGTTGAGACCTAAGTTACTTGGTGCCGCCAGGCCAACGCCGAAAAGTTCGTTACTTTCCTCCGCGAGGCGGGTGTGGGAAGCGCGGGAGAGGACTAGACCTGGCTGAGGGAGGGGAGGGAGGCGGTGTCCTGAGCAGTTGCCCAGCTCCTCCGCCCGGCCCGAGCGCCCGCCCCGCCTCCCTTCGCGCTCCTTTCGGTCCCCACCGTATACCCACCCGGAGGTGAAATCCTGCTGCACGCTCAGCAGCCGCTCACGCAGGGTCTCCAGCATCGCCGCCACGGTGTCTCCTCCCGTCAGTTCACGGACCTCCGCCGCTGCCTCGGCTCCGCGCACCTGTCACCCAAGAGCTCCACACTCCTGCCGACCGCCCCGCCCCCGGCCCGGCCAAGGTCCCCGCGCCGCTGCCCCTTCCTTGTTTCGTCCGGGCTCTCGCGTTCTCGCCCCGCCCCAACCCGGCCGCGCAGCCGCAGTCGGCAGCGCCCGCTAGGACTGCGGATAAGGGGCGTCTCTTCCCTCCCCGCTGAAGCTAGAAGCTCGTTGCAGTTCTATAGCCCCATCTGGGCTAGCTCGTTTTTCATTTTAGAATGGAAGTGGTACCGAGATAGATTGTTTTAAGTCGAGGGCTCCTTTGAGTGCAACGCTGGTTTTTATGGTTTGGAGGAGAGAGCTAGATAAATCCTTGCAAAGGGTACGCCTCCTTGTAGGAAATTGTTTCCTGAGCTCTGGGTCAAAGGTCTTATTCCAAAGGCTTTGACCTTGGATGAGATAGTTCATCATCAGAGCCTCAGTTTCTTCATTCATAAAGTGGCAGTAAGAATCAACTGTTTCTACATCCTTACTTTCCATTCTCTCTGCAGCCTACCCCATCAGGCTTTTGTGCATTTCACACCAAAGGAGGTTGCCTTGTCTGGCCACTAGTGACCACCATGTGCCCATACCATTTGCTACTTATCTGCCCCGATTTCTTTGGTTGACTGTGCAGTGGCTTTCACCGCAGTTCCTTGCCCTATTTTTAAGACTCATCCTCTCTTGACATCAAGAACACCATACTTCCACTCTTCCTTCATCTCTACTCCTATTTCAGCAGCTGCTCCAAAGGCTCCATTTCCAGCCTGCTGCTCATCTCCACCTATGCTCTCTGCCTGGATTATTCTGTAATTTATACCAATGCATGGGTGACACCCAAATCTCCATCTTCACCCCTGTCCTCCCTCCCCTCCTTCAATTCATACCAGTTGTTTACTCATGTATCCAATAGGCATCTCAAACCCAACATACCCAGGATTGAAAATTTGATTGCATACTCACCTCCTACACTGCACATCCCCCAGTCTTTTCCATTTTGGTAAACACCACCACTATGTTCAACTTTAGCCACTTGAAGTCACCCCTACTTCCTCTCCTTTCCTCATCCTCTGTATTAATCCATCAAGTCTAATCAACTTTATTTCTGAAGTAATGCTGGAACCATTTTCCCTTTCTCCATCTTCACTATCATCATGGTAGTCCAAGGCACCACCATCTTTCACCAGGAACATTGACAGCTCCCTTGATTCTACTCTTTTGCCACCCACACACCTGTAATCCACCTTTGACACAGCGGCGAAATAAAATGATTTAAAAGATTAATCAGGTCATGTTGCTATCCTCCTTAAAATCCTTCAGCTGCTTTCTGTGTGCTTAGCATAAAATTCAAACTCCTTATTTGACTTACAAATCCCTAAAATTTGAACTTTTCCTGATATTCTGTCCAAAGCAAGTACTCTTCACCTATTGGGTCCTTGATGTTTAAACCACACTAACCTTGTGTGTGCGGGTGTGTGTTCCTTGCAAATTCCAGGTTCATTTTTATTTTGAGACATTTTCACAAGCTTTTCTCCAAACTGTCTCATGGCTGGTTTGTTTACAGCATTCAGGTCTGAGTTTAAATACCATCTCCCTAGATAGTCTTCCCTGACCATGCAAGTTACCCACCCAATCACTTCCTATCACATACCCTGTTTCTTAACTTAGTATACACCACTATCTGATAACTTATTTAATAGTTGTTTAATTTTTAAAGTTATTTGTTTATTCACACATTTATTTTAAATGCAGTGTTAGGACGAGGGTAAGGCAGGTTAAGGCATTCATCTCAGTGGCAAAATCTGTGAAGGACAAAATATCAAAATTTTAAGTAAAGACGGGATTTGACAGGACTAGAACTAGATGAGGTGAGGAAGGTAGGCTGCACAAGTACAGACACTAGGGTAAACGGCGCCGTCTGTCAAGATTTAACTCTGTTTTATTGAACTCTGTGTCCCCAGCACCTAAAACAGTGAATGGTGTATAGTAGAAACTTACATACCACTGTTGATTGGTTTGTCTGGAACTAAGTAAGATAGACTACCCAGTTTATGGTTAAGGAGAACACCTCTTCTCCCCACTCTCGATATTTTCTCCATGTGGGTGAGGCTCCTCCACTAGTCTAATACTCTGGGCTTTTCCTGGTGGAGGACAGGTGACTGCTGATTAGTGAGCTAGGGAATAAGGGTCCATACTCTCTTCTTTTCCTTGGATGCAAACTTCCAACAAAGAGTACTTACTATAAAGTTAGGCTGCCAGGGGAGGAGGCTGCCAGTGCTTTCTGTGAGTAGGTGGGCAAGTCTTAAACTAAGTTTCAGGAGTAGGAGTTCTGCTCACCCATGAATACAAGCCATGTGTGTCATCGTCCTTGCCAGAAATGAAAGTTACATTTCAGCCATTTTATGGTGATGCTATTGTCTTATCTCTCAGTTGATGCAGACAAGTGAAAGAGAGGGGTACTGTTTATTGAGCCTTCCTCTCCCTCCCAGAAACAACCTGGTGAGTGATTAAATGACCAAATTTACAGACACAGATGCCTCTGGTACTGGGAAAGAAGAAATCTTTATTTTATTCAATGAAATAAACTCCTCCACTGATAAGCTTTCAATTTACTAAATTGTATAGATTCCAACAAATCACAAAATCAGAGCAAAAGGACTCTTCCTATCACTAAAAAATAGTTTCACTTGTGTGCATTTTCATCTTGACCACTTGTTTTTTAAGTCTTTGACATAGAGCTTTGTTTTTGGATGTTTTATAAACACTCATACTTCCATCATGTCTGATAAATCCAAAAACAGGGGAAGTTTAAAGGCACTAAAAGAACACAGTGTATTACAAAGAAAAGAATATATTTAAAAAATGAAATAAACATGGCCACTGTTGTACATGAATTGTTCTATAGGAATGATTAAGGACCGAGAGTTGAATGATCAGCCAGAAACTAGAAAGACTGATTGACAAAATGAAACAACAAAATTTTTAAGTGCAGTTAGAGAACCAACATCAGTAATGGAGGCTGTTGGCCTAATCTTAATTTAGCAATTGGTTGAGAGTTAATCTGAAAACATATTAGCAAGCACAGAGAAAGGTTTCTTGATAAAACATTTGGTGAAAACACCAAAACTGCCAAGAAGCCCCCTATGTGCTTTCCTGGACCAACAGTATCAGCAGCACCTGAGAGCTGGTTGTAAATTCAGAATCTTAGGCTCCACTCAGACCTGTAGAATCAAAATCTTAATTTTCCAAACATCCTCAGGAGATTCATATTTATATAATGTGTGAGACATCCACTGTTCTAGGATACTCGCTGAGAAAAAGGGGTTCCTTATCACAATAGATTCTTACAGTAGACAATGTGATAAATGAGGATTTAGTGGAACTGAACCAAAGAGAAAGATCCTATGAAAGAAGTTGTAGAACCCAGAAGGTGTCACACTATTTCACTGGCAGAGGTTTTTTAGAGTAACTGGAAAGGCACTATTAACCTTTGAGTTATAGGAATGTAACTTAGTTTTGCAAAGGTATCTACAGGATATTATTTTTTATACAATTTTTTAAAAGCCAAGATGTAAATATTTCTGTTATCTTTAATTTAGGAGTTTAAAATTCCCAGAAGAAATCATTTAAAAGCTATAAATGAATAGCTGTAAGGATAATGTAAGCTATATAAAGCTGGAAAGGTGATGTCAGCATGGCATTAAGAAAAGGAAAACAGAAACAGGAACCAGGAAAGTGAGAAGGGGAATTTTAACATGCAGGAGCAAAGATTAGGGCCCAGTAGAGGAAGAACATAAAAGAAGCGGGCGTGGAAGGACATTGACGTCTGAAGACAGGAGCTAATAAACCAAGAAGGCAAGCAGTGTCTAGAGTGACACTCAGGACAGCAAAGTTGGGAAAGAGTATTTCAACGTGAACCAGACTGAAAGAACAGTAAGAGGCAGCTCAGCTGTGTCTATCTGTGTTTCGAGATTTTATTACACTACAGGCATACCTTGGGGATATTGCGTGTTTGGTTCCAGACCATGGTAATGAAGCAAGTATCACAATAAAGCAAGTCTTTTTTTAAAAAATATTTTTATTGTATTTTTTCCATTATCATTTATCCACCTTATACCCTCCTTCCCCACCCCGCCCTCAATCACCACACTGTTGTCCATATCCATGAGCCCTTTCTCCTTTTCATTGATCCTTCCACTCCCTAACCTCCCCTCTCCATAGCTGTCAGCCTGCTCTCTATCTATGAGTCTGTCTCTATTTTAAAACCAGTCTTAATCTTTTGGCTGGTGGAGGGTCTGGCCTTCAATTTGTGAAAGATGCAACACCTGTGAAGCGCAATAAAGAGAAGTGCAGATAAACAAGGGGTGCCTGCACAATAAAATATAATCAGGCACCTCACCTCATCTTTTGCCTAGATGAAGAAAAGAAAGGTATATTCAGTGCATTAGAGGAGGGAACCCCTTTTTTGCTGATCTATGTTTTGATCTATATGATCTATGAAATATTCATAAGGAAAGGAGTGACTCCATTTATCAAAGTAGAGGAACTCTACATGAGTAAAGGAGACCACATTCTGTAATTCTTATAAATAGATGGCTTTTCCTAGAGAAAGTATATCTGAGAAATTTTATCTTCTGAACCACTATGGAAATCTCAAGTAGGAGAGCTTAATAACAAACTGAAACTTTCTAATAAAAATTAGTAGCAAGGGAAAGAGAGAGAGGAAGAGAGAGGGAGAATTATTACCTGTATGTAGCTGTCATGTTAATATAGGCAGGAAGAAAGTTCTAGTAATTGAAAAGGATTGAGGAGAATGGCAAATACAGGGTCCAGCACAAATAATGCCCCCTTTTTATTACAAACTCTTTTAATACAGAATCATAAGCATGTAATTCTGTAAAATAACAATATCAAACTCAAGTACACCATATGACATTTTTGGTGAAATGTTCAAAGTAAAACTATAAATTCTTACACTCATATTGTCACCCTACTAACCACACGCAAGCAGGTGTTACTTCTGCCAGACCCTGTATCTATTAGGTCTCAGTGCCCTAAGAGTTCCTCTCTGTCCACAGGAATTGCCCACA